TTTTTGTTTTTTTTTTTGCGCCAATAAATTTTCATCCGCGCGCATCATGATCGCATCCCATTGTTAATCGACAAGTCACGCGCTCACATTTGTTAACGCGACTTCATCGAAAAATCACTCATTTCGACAGATGCTTGCAGATGTGACACGGTCGGTAGTGCCTCGTTCGTAAACGGGAGACATTTTTATTCCGGACAAAACCACTCAGAGCAGCAGGTGAGTCGTTTTTCTGGAATAAGTTGTCACCACGATTATGAGCAAGGGAAATAAATAACAAATGAGAAGGATCTTTTTTTCTCACAATACAACACGTGCTACCCCCGCACACAGAGAAAAAAATTAACTATCGACTGCGAACTGTGAAACACACATTATCAGTGTTGTGACATCGCGCAGTTCTTTTTCTCAGTGTAGCAGAAAGATAATCTTCCGGAACATCGCAAGCAGACATTTATTAAATAAGTATATTGTACAAACGAGACAAATTTCGCGATTACGTGGACCAAAGTCTAACTAATCTAACGATCGTATGCCATTTCGAAACATTGTTTTTGTTTTTGCCAAGTCAGCCGGTTCGATTGTTTTAACTCTTTAGCTGCATCGAGAACAGTGTTGTTTAGTCATCCTCGCTGCCGCCGTGGCAAACACACAACGGCAATTGTGTCCGATACACGCTGTCAGTTAGCGAGTAAAGCGATTAACGTGTCATATACTTCGAGTCGAATTTCACTCGACGTATGTGTACGCCTTTATTTTATTTTTATTTTTTTGTACTACCTTCCACGCAAGGACGTACATGTACGCGAGAGAGCTAAAGGGTTAAGTCCGTCGTAATTGTGTTTTTTTTTCGCTGCGATCTCAATCGTCGTCGAATTCTCTCCCAACGGGATCATATCATCGATTCGACTTTTGTATACACATCGCACGAGTGTTCGTATGCTATTCTCCTGTTATAATTTATATATATACATATAGTCAACCACATGCGCGTGGTACGTTAATTGTATCGTCGAAAAAAAGTCTTGTAAAGAGAAAATTGTCTAATTTTTATATGAGAGATATATGAGATATATATATATATATAAATACAAGTGTAGACGTAACGAAAAATATAGACGTAATATATATATACAAATATATATATATATATATATATATATATATATAAATATAAATAAATTGTAAACCACCACGATTGTGATTTGACCGAGGTTACCGTGTTATACGTACTTAAATATATTTAGCCACGGAAACGGCGCCGTGTGCCGAGGAAGCTATAAAAGCGCTCGTTACCTTTAGAATCAAGTAGCCAGATAAGGTGTATACCTACATACACACACACCGTACACGAAGAAACACGCGCAGATGTACCACATAAATATACACACGAATTTCTTCCGGAGCTCAGTTCGAAACCCACAGGTTTTTGTACTCGCGTCCTACAGTCAGGTGTTTGAATCGCGCGGACGAACAATCGTAGCATCGTAGTAGAAATTATTGTTATTTAATAAAAAAAAAAAAAAAAAAAAAAGAAAACGAGAAGAGAAAAAAAATTAAAATATCATCGTTGATATTGTTGATCGAAACAACGCGTTACGTGAGCGACGTGCAGTCGCGAGAAAATTGTGTTTTATAGTTGCAAAACAGAAAAGTTTTTTCTCTATTTCACGAAGAGAGTTTTTCTCCTAGCTACTTCGAAACTGAATTAATTTCGAATTTTTTAATATTTATATATTCCAATCGAGAGTGTTTTCTCTAAGATCACGCTGGAGTTTTTCTTCTTCCGCGCCGTTTTACATTTGAATGTTTGCGCGTTTTACGTGGAATTCTTCGAAGAAACGGCGCTCGGGATTCGCCGATCTCGACAGTCTCAACTATTTACAAGCGAAAAAAAATGTCTGTGGTAACTTTGGACCCGGTGAAATGAAGAAAACAATCAGCGTACACGGTACAGAAACGTTTGACCGAGAGAGAGACACGTAAATGCAATATGTATATTTAAACGACAACTGATTGAAGATCTCTCTGCGTTGAATTCGTGAAAAATGTTGCAAATTAAAAGCAATTTCAAAATTATGTTTTGAAGCGAGACGTTAAATCGTCGCACGTTCTCACGGACCGAATGACTTATTGAATTTGCATCAAATTTACACAAAAAAACGATCCTATCATTGTTCGTCACCTCCGTTCTCTTCTTTCGACACACGAACATTTGTAAAAGCTACGTCTATCACGCCTTTGTAGCACAACAATGACTGTATATATGTCAATATGTAATATTTGATGCAAAAAAATATATATACAATTCAATAAGAAAAAAAAACAAAACAAATATCTCAACTGTGTTTGCTTCGTCGAATTTTCTGTTGAAGCTGATGCAAAACTTGGATCATTAAAACGAAGGCGGCGCGAGAAATCGGGATTCCGTACGAGCTTGTTCTCAGGTGCTTTCTCTCGGTGCGCCTGCTTGTTCGTCTTTTTGTTCTCCGTTTTCGTACCGGCTTCGTGCAAGCTGTGAAAAGGTCAATGGCGCAGGTTCAGCCGAAAACGACCCTGTTTCCAGAAAATTCAGTCTCCTCTCTCCCTTTCCCCCACGTGAGAAAGAAGAACCGCAATTAATTGTGGGAAACAAGAGCTTGACCAGGGTCGAGAGATGTGTGAGAACCGGAACATTTGTGGACTACCGGTGGACGACGACGACGTGACTTGACGAGGAATTTCGAAAACAACGCGTCTTTTCTTCAAAATCTCGTTTACTTACTCGCGCGCGCTGCTCCTCTCGCAAAACTAAACTGGATGATGCTACTAGAATCCGCGATGTCTCACGAGTCACGTAGGATATTTAAAGTTTAAATCATGTTGATAGAACCTTCATTAAGCGATCTGTAATTAGTTCTTCCCTCCTTTATTCGCGATCGTTGTTTGTTTTATCGGATTAATTATATACGACAAGGAGGAACTGCTGCGCAGGTTCGCTAATTAGATCCGACGTTTAATCTAATCTGGATCGAGTAATTTAAACACTTGTAATTACAATGCGTTTATAACTCATATATATTTTTTCACGTACGTGTATAATTAGAGTTCGAGCTCTCTTGGGGATTAGATTAAACGGCTAACGGACGGCGCGATTAATTTTGTTGACGAGAAAATGGTCGGTTTCGCGAGAATCCATAAATAAAAGTCTCACTCATCCTGAAACCAAACTTGGCCTGGAGGTGAGCAGATCCGGGCGGGCAATAGTGCGCTTCGGGCTAAGAAGCGCCTTCTTAGCTTCATACGACGTCGAGGACGTGACTTTGACCCAGATATCGGCAAACTGTGCCAAGTAGCCCGCGGATGCAGCTCTCGCACGTACGCACACATCGCGTCTGGATCGAAATCATGCCGAAACAACATGACAAATTGATCTCCGATACTCTCCGCCGTGTGTCACGATTTAATGAGCGCACGGATGTCCTTTTTAATTAGCGGCCGACCCTGAGAAATTCGGTAAGTAACTCCGCGCGCGCTTGACAATGCCAGATGCAACAAGATACAACGCAGGTAAGAGTCAGCAATAATTGACAGTAATTAATTTGCGATATCACAAAGATCGTCGTATGCTTTTTTTTATTTGTTGTCACATATACGTAAAGACCAGATGGTGTAATTAAAAAAAATAATATATATTGAAATATAACAATAAATTCAAAAATAATATAAAGTAGTTTTACTTCAAGATATGATACAAAAAATACTTCGAAGTAATTATCGCACAAAATGTAGACCGCAACAGGTGCGTGTCGCGCGCTGTGTGACGATGCACCAAGTCACAAAGAATGCAGATAATAATACCTTATAGGATAACAGCGAGACGTCGAGAAAACTTCGTTTGTTATGCGTTAACCTTCGGTAAACATATTTGCCTACTGCGGTCGATCAGGATTGGAAGAAAAACCGAGATCCTTGAATCGTCACTTTTAATTAGAAAATGTCGCGACATGCATCGCGTATTGTAGGTAAATCGGATGTTTGAAACGAAACGTGTGAAAACGACAAAAATATAAATATTTAACACGTTTATAAAAAAAAAAAAAAAAAAAAAAAAAAAAAAAAAAAAAAAAAAAAAAACAAGAATTATGTAATTATCAAACAAAGATAAAAACTTTTTCTTATTAATTTCGAAAAACTCAAAATTGCTATTAGGATATGAACATGTTATTGTTAAACGATTATTTTCATTAAAAAAAAAACTAATAAAAAATTGTTTTCTCTTCCAACGTTCGCACGCAACCGCAGGACGTTGAAAATGAAGCGATCATCGTTTCGTCCTTGACGACAACACAATGACAATAAAGATGACGCGTCTTAACTAGGGATGAATCACTGACAATACGCATCTTCTTCGGAATTGCGATAGCGGAGAATTACCTATTTAAGGCAACGTCGAATCGGTCGAAAGAAAAATGAATCGCCATGCGATTCGCGCGCATTTATTTACATGAGACTTTTCCAAATCGAGTTTCTCATCTCTCTGACTGTGTATAAACGAAAAATCCGTGTCTGGCCGACTTCCTCGTATTCTTGTTCCGAGGAGTCACTTGATTTTTTTTTTTAATGTTTGCAAGCGTCTTTCATGTCTATTTCTAATCTATCCCGACTGTGACGCTGTGCATCATTTCGAAAGTAACGTTTAGCAAAAGGTCGAAGAAGAAATACTTAAAACGATGCTCGCCGCATATGCGAGATAATTAAAGCGTCCATGTACCTTTATTTTCTCGAAACGTGTTCCGATAACTAATCGCGCTCGAACGTTGGTCATCTCGTTCATTAGAGATAGCGAAGCAAGATCCACTTGCGGGATGAGAAGAACCGTGTAATGTAAAATCGTCACGCTCTTTCGTGCTCGTATTTTAAACGCACGTAATTATTACATAAAATATTGAATGTAATTAAATAGAAATTGCAGCAAGAGAAAGAAAAGCTAAGTAAAAATCAATTGGAAAAGTTAATCGATGTCTGTTGGTTTTGTTTTTTTTATTGCAAACTCTGGGGAGAGGGGGGGGAGAGAGACAAGTTGGATTACGTAAAATCACTTCCTGTGATTTCGTTCATGTCAATGTAAAAAAGTAAAAAAAAAAAAAAAAATCAGCGTTACAACAATTTTCGATCAAACTCGTACACACGCAGAAATGCAAAGAGATGATGTCACATAAATATGTAAAATCGTGATGATGGGCGGGCAGCTCGTTAAGGCACCGTCTTTCCTTTTCTTCTTCATTAATGACAACATGGTCACCGCGATCATTACTTCCAAGGAACTGGTTCTAAGATCCATTGTTGATCGAGATTCCTAGTACAGGCCGCTATTACAGGCGTGTCGTCGTCGGTTGCCGCTTGAAGGCACATCTCAGAAGGCACATGTAAAAACACCTTTGTCTGAAAAAAAATTGCGAATTTTATTCTCTTTGTAAAATCCTGCAAGAAGATATCACAGTTTGTTATCACACCTTTTCGTCGTATTGCCACTTTTGCCTGTCGCGACCGCTGCAAGCCATTATTCTCACTTTCGGCGTTTTCTGCTGCGTGTCTCGGTCGGACGCGTCCAAGCACACGCTCTCGTCCGTCATTATCACACCGCTGTTCGTCATGACGAACATCTGGCTGAGCATCGGCCGCGGTATGCACGATTGCAGGCGCGCGTTTCCTGAAGGTTGTGTGTAAGAACCTTTCGCGCTCGGTCGCATAATACATTTCTTTGTCGCAGCATGCACTATCTAATGTTACAATCGACTGTAATCCATTTTCGAGAAAGGGAAAGACGTTGTTTTGAGAGAAACAAACATTACCCTGCCGAAGAATCGGTCGTCCGTGGGGAAGAAGTGTTCGGGCCACACGTTCTCCAAATACCACTCGAAACTCTTGCACTGCAGTCTCTCGCGCAAAGCCAGTCTCAAGCGAATTTGCTGTTTGTACCTTAATCTAGCGGCCTCTGATAAAATTCGGAGTATTAATATCTGTGTTTCAAAGTCTAGCTCGGTAATCATTCAACAGACGTTGCGCGCGTATCAAAATTGTTTAGCAGCTTTACTCACCGGGATTGAACTTGAAGTAGAACTCCGCCCACTGATCCATCCATACCAGAGCGACTCTGGCAATGTTGCCGTACAAAATCTCGCCGACGCCGCCCGGGAACGTGTAAGGCGAGGACTTTCGAAAGAGATGTCCGACGTGAGAACACGGCGCAATTTCGATGCTGCCTCCGCACTGCCATGCTCGGAACGACAGCTCGAGATTCTCGCCGCCCCAGATTCGCATCTGATCGTCGTAGCTTCCGAGTTTGAAGAAATACTCCCGGTTCATCGAGAACAATCCGCCCGCCATGGCGGGAGTTCGAAATGGCTCGACGATATTGTCGCGTCTCTCCTTCAACAACCGACCGTTCAGAGTCAGCCAACGAAAGTGCAAGTCCCAGTTGAATGCACCCCAATGAAGCTCAAACGATCTGTGAAAATTAAAGTAAATTTTTTGGTATCACGTTTAAACAGTTTCGTTGCCAGTTTCTTGAGTGATAAACAATAACTTCTACCTTGTGTAACTGAAAGTGTCGTCGTTTATTATATCGATCACCGGCGAGATGATTCTTGTTGCGTTTTGACCGACTGCCTCGAGCAAAGGTTCCAACCATCCTGCAGAGAGCGCGCACGATATTAACACTGTATGCGAAATTGTTCACGGGTTTTATCGCGGGTGATATTGTGATACAGTAGCTTACCAACCGTACATTCGCAGTGAGCGTCGAGAAAAGTGAGAACCTCGCCCTTAGCTTCGGTCGCTCCCACAATCCTGGCTTTTATTAATCCTACTCGTTCACTGGACCGCAAAACTTTCGTGGGAACGGTCAAATTTTTCACGTAATCGTCCAAGGATTTCTTCAGAAATTCTAGCAGAAAGCGGATCGGTTAATGACGAAGAAAATTGATTGTAACAAAGATTTAATGTATTTACTCACCTCTTTCACTTTTGTCATCAACAAGAATAATCTCTTCTAACAATTCTCTCGGAGATCTGTTGATCACACTGTGTACCGTCCGCAACAATGTACTCCAAGCCTCATTGTGAAATACTATGATGATCGAGGTTTTTGGCAAAGTACCCAAGTTCGCGTATCTCGAAATGCACCTGCAAAAGTTTGGAAACACAACATTGTTTACTGTAACAATCTCGGACAAAAAATTTGTAGAAAAGATTTGATGAATTATTTATCATACAAATTTGAGCAGCACAGCTTTTTACCTTTTTTTTCTAACATCCGGTAGAGTTCGATTCAATGGGATTCTATCGCTGGCCATCAAATTGAATCGGTTAATCTGATACAATTGTTGCATTTTATAAAAATCTTTCGGATGTATAACCACAGGTTCTCCATTTTTACCCTCGAACGGTACCGGATCGAATAAATTTTGGTTAATAATATCTGAAAACAAAAAAGTACCACTTGTACTCATATTCCTCTTATAATTCTTCAAATATATATTCAGAGATTCATTTTTTTGTAATCGCATTACCCTTTGTGATATTCGGAGCTTTCAAGGAATCTACAGAGTCTCCGATGTAATGGCCAACTACAACATGAATTCCTCGACGATCGATGTACTCTTGTTGATTTTCGTGTGATCTTTAATCCGCAGAAGACAGAATGTTAACGAGTTGTTGTGCAAGTCAAGCCGAATATAAAAAGATACTACAGAGTTAATTTTAAATTCTACAAATTACCGAAAAGAGATAAAGTTGTCCCGTGATTGATAAAAGTTCATCTCTCTGTTCCTGGACCAAATCAGAAATATGCCCACAACTACAACGATCAAAAAAATGATCGTCGACAGACGACGAGGTCGTCTTAATCTGAACCACATTCTGCTCGCTCATTGATCCACATATCAAATGTATTCACTTGCTCGACGCGTGTCGACGCAGAGTCCATCTACGCACTGTGATCGATTTGTTTTAAGAAGTTTCACTTCACATCTTACTTCAGCTGCCCAAACTTATCACACGAAATTGCCTTTTCTTATCGCAACCTTCCGCGATCAGTAGGTCAGGTCATTGCGACAAAAAAGCTATACTTCCAGAATGTTTTTGAAATAAAATCTGAAAAATAACAGTTTATTTACAATTTACAATGCATATAAAGAAATATATCATTTTTTAACTATAAACCATTTAAAAAATTAAGTAATTTTTAGTTATAAATTTCTACTTTACATAGAAATTTTGTAATCTTAATTTTATGCAATACCGCACTTGCCAAGCCTTTGAGCAAGAGTGAAAGTTAAATGTAACAAAATATATATTACACTACTGAAGAAAACTGCTGCGGTATAAACAACTCATATCAGCTGTGATAACATCACGACATTAATTACACATTAATTCATATCTCCGTTATTTACCTCGCAATTTCCAAAAAAACACTTTGTCACACCCGGAACGCCTGACGTTTCCGATCTCCCGACGCCGAAATGGCATCGCCATTAGCAGCTGACGCTCGAAAACGACAACCATTTAAAGCGTGTTGCACGGCAGAGATGAACATGCGGATGTCGTGGTACGCCATCGGGTCTCGGGAGGGCGACATCGTCGTCTTGCATGCAGTTCGCCACGTTGGAAGACTTGACGGGTCGTTGCATCTTGTGTCAGACGTACCGATTTATGTGAAGTTCCTGTTTACAGCGGTCCGAATCACGTCAAGGTGAGAACACATTATTTAATCAAGACACCGACTTCGACTGCCTCGATGTATTTAAAAAAAAAAGAAGAAATCATGATGTCACTTATAAATTAATTTCTGCAACACGTCGACTGTATTTTTAACACTATCATACATTATGTTAATGCAATTAATATGTACTTCTGTTATTTGAACTTCTTGTGTTTTGCTATCACGTTGTTCAGACATAAGCTTTCCAGGCGGACAAGCTTTTTTGGATTTCTTAACAAATGTACATCATGTGTTAAGTAGTAATGTTTTTTTCTTGTCATGTATACAGATGAAAGTCAAGGAGCTACAGAAGACAGTGAATGTAGCATGGTCCCCGTCAGCTATGCATCACATTATGCTGGCTGCGGGGACGGCAGCGCAGCAGCTAGATAGCAGTTTCGGCACTGCTGCCAGTTTGGAGTTGTATTTGCTGAATCTCGAACAACCGGGATATGATTTAAAACTCCAAGCGAGTGTTCCTAGTGATCATAGGTTAGTTTCATTGACATAGAAATTTTATTTAATGTTCCAACTAATGTGTCATTTTTGAATTTGATTCAGGTTTCACAAGATCATCTGGGGATCTTACGGAAATCTTCCAACAGGTTTTATCATTGGAGGTTGTGACGATGGCGTTGTAAAGATTTATTCTGGTACTAGAGTATTGATCAGGGACAGTAACTGTCTGATTAGCGACTCTCACAAACACTCTGGTCCTGTTAGAGCTATGGATTTTAATCCTTTTCGGGAAAACAATCAGCTGGCTACTGGTGCAACAGAGAGTGAGATCTTCATCTGGGATATTAATACAAACACTCCAACCACTCTTTACAAGGGTCAAGGATCGGAAGATGTTCAGCACGTTACGTGGAATAAACAAGGTTTCTTTACTTTAAATTATGAATAATTTAAATGAATCAAATATAGAGTAGGTTTATAAAATTAATATTTATTCTTTTATTTTGCAGCAAAGGACATTCTTGCTTCTACATTTTCACATGGCTGTGTCATATGGAATGTAAAAGAAAAAAAGCCAATACATAAAGTGACAAATGCAAATTCAAGGGTATAATTTTTTTCATTAGAATACATTGTGTGAAGACATACGCAATTTAATGTTAAAATTACACAATTATTTATGTTCTGATAATAGGTACGTTGGAAAGCTACGCAATGGCATCCAGAAATTGGGACACAATTCTGTATAGCGTCTGAAGATGATCAGACGCCCATTATCGAATTATGGGATCTCAGATATTTATCCTCACCTTTGAGAACACTGCAAGGTCATCAGCGTGGGGTTCTCTCAATTGCATGGAATCCAGAGGATCCTGATTTGCTTTTGAGCTGTGCCAAGGATAACAGAATTCTATGCTGGAATCCCAACTCCAATGTTGTGGTACGCGATATATTTCTGAATTTTTAAATGTTTGAAAAAATTAATCAAACTTCAAGTTTTAATGTTTTTTCAACGACAGAATGGCGAAGTGATATGTGAGCTAGCACAGACAACTCAATGGACGTTTGAAGTGTCTTGGTGTCCGAGGAATCCAGCGTTACTTGTTGGTAGCAGTTTTGACGGTCACGCTGCTGTCTACTCTTTGCTTGGTGGACAGGTGCAAGAAACGTACAACACAATTCTCGATTCATTTCCAGGAGTGGATCCTTTCGCACATCCTCTTCCGCCCACAGCGCAAACAAAAGTACCGGTATTGACTAAAGCCCCGAAATGGCTGAAGAGACCAGTAGGCGCATCGTTTGGAGTAAGCGCTCGCATTACAACAGATAATCACGGAAATTTATGGGATATTTAATAAATAATATAATGCTATTTTTTAACAGTTTGGTGGTAAATTAATAACGTTCGAGAATCAACCTGCTGATCCGGAAAGAAAACTAAATCCGTGCAGAAAAGTTACTGTGTCACAAATGGTCACACAACCCAGTCTCATTCAACGTTCAAACAAACTGAAATTGGCGCTGGAGACTGAGCAGTACAGCGAGTTCTGCAAGGACAAGATTGACAAATCTCCGGACGAGCATAACAAAAAGATTTGGAGTTGCGTGCGCGCTTACTTCGAAGAAAATGTGACGAAGAATATTTTGGAATTGCTGGGTTACGATATCGAGGCGATGAACAATAAGTTGAATCAGTTTGTGTCTCAAGATGATGTCAACACCATCACGGAAGGCGTATCTAATCTCAACAATGTTAGATTTTTAACATGTTATGTGTGCATTTAAAATGTTTAAAATTGTTTTTCTAATTAAATACGTTTTCCCTTTGCTTACTTTAGATGTTGAATGGAGATATAGCTAGCAAAACTAGATTTGACAATGTCGCACAGGAGCAAGAGTCTACGAAACTAGCACCATCAAGTAAATTCGCAGATAGTGCTTTCGCCATAAACACCTCCGATAGTAAGTAACGCGCGCTGATAGCTCTGCAAACTGAACAAAATTTATGAATTTAATTTTCACTTGTGTTGCTCTGTTTTTAGCCAACGATGGTCTTATTAGTCAAGCGATTCTTGTGGGCAACATCGAAGCTGCTGTGTCTTTGTGTTTTTCTAGCAAAAGGTACGCTGACGCCATCATCCTTTCGATGGCTGCCGGTCCCGAGCTGTTGGCACGTACCCAATATAAATATTTCTCTGAACATTCCGGTGCATTAAATTCTCTCATCAACTCATTAGTCAGCGAGAATTGGATAGAAGTTGTGAAAAACAGCGATATAAAGTGCTGGAAAGAAGTGTTAGTCGGTATATTTACACATTCCAATCAGGAACAGTCTACTTTGTGCGGTAAGGATCTGATATAAAATATCAACAGAAACAATCTGTCGCGATAATTGATCGATTTTACGCTTATATAATGTTTGTTTTTTTTTTTTTTTTTGCAACAGATATGCTGGGTGACCGTTTGGTATCGTGCGAAAACCCGGCTCTTAGAAAGCAAGCGCAAATTTGTTACATTTGTTCCGGCAACTTGAACAAGTTGGTTGAGGTGTCTGATGCTGATATTCAAGAGATCGTAGAATTAATAGTGATAATGCAAAAAGCCTTGGCATTCCAAGGTGTCAGAGAACACCAGGTAGATAATAATATCGCTACTGTATTGTCTAAATACGCCGAGATGCTGGCGGCAGAAGGCAATTTGGAAGCGGCCTTGAATTACCTCGGGAACAGTCAGGATCAAAGAGTTCTAATGTTGAGAGAACGGCTGTTGAAAGCTTTGAGCTACGTGCAAGACCAGAGGCACGTTGCGAAACCTGCGACTCAGAATTATTACTACGATCAAACGCGAAGATCGTCAAGTTCTCAGAACGTGTACAATCCGCTGCAGCAACCGTTGCAACATTCGTTGCAGCAACCGTTGCAGCAGCAAACATTGCAACAACCTTTACAGCAACCATTGCAACAGCCGTTACAGCCGACATTACAGCAACCGTTGCAACATTCGTTACAGCAGCCGCTGCAACAACCGTTGCAGCAGACGACACCTGTGCAAAGTTGGAATACGAATCCCCTGAAACCATCTTACGGAACTCCGAGTCAATTTAACCCTCAGCAGCCTCAGCAGTCGTATGGAATACCTCCTCCTCCTCTTCAATCATCTCTTCAGCAAACGCAGTCTACGATGTACGATCAATATTCCTCACCACATCTGTACAATCAGGGTGCGGTGACACAGCCTCCTCCCCCACCTCCACCGACGTCCACTGCGAATTTGAGCGGCTCGAGACCGTCCAGTGTTGGACCACAGTCGAGATCCAAATATCTGATAGATCCGTCTGTGAAGTCCACACCGTCGTATAGCCAGGGTGGTTTTCCGCCACCGAATCCGTACAATTCTCAGCAAATTGCGCCCGTTCCTGGCTACCCCGTCGCGTCAAATCTTCCGCAGAATCCTCCGTATCAACCCCAAGTTCCTATGATGAACAATCCTTATCCCGCCCAGTCGACAGGCTTTACAAATACGCCTAAAGAAATCTCCGAACCATTCAAACCGCCTCCGTCGAACATCATGCCGCCGCCCATGCAAAACGCGCCTCAGACTCAAATGTACGATCTTGTCAGAACTCAGCCTGCTTCGCAAATGCAACAATTTGGAAACGAAAACGCGTATCAGTTGCCACCTCAGCCATCTGGATGGAACGATCCGCCGATTGCGAAGAGTTCCAAAGTGCAGGTAAGAATCAGAATTCAAGTTCGTTTAAGATCGACAGCTCTTTTAATACTTAGTCACGAGATTTATTGAAATCACATAGCCAGTACTGGCACTATTCAACAAAAACGAAATGTCTGCGGAACATGCCGGTACCAGGAAGTGGAAGGCAAAGCATTCGAAAGGTGTAGACGTTAAGGTAGCCAGCTTTATGCTTGAGATTGCTGTATATGCAATGTCTCGTCATAGTTTCGTGCCCACACCGTTTTATCTAGGTTTCCATATTTTAAAATTAATAATCCGATTGATTGTAACAATTTCTTATCCGTGTGATCACAGAAATACTAATAGAAGTGTGTTGTGCGAAAGAAAGAGTTTAAACTGCTTTTTTGCATCTTAAAATTGATATCACGCAGATTATCAGTTCGTTATTTTATTTTATAATCAATTTTTCTATAAATAATTTTTTATCAATATCTATCACTTCAAGTGTTAAGAAGTGATTTTGTGGAGCTTTATTGAGAGCTTTTGTCTATCTATATGATATCGTACGATGACGTTGTCAATCATTACTGCGAAGTGGCTGGAAAATAATTTGTGATATATTTGTTAAGAATGAATCATTTAATTTTTTTCCAGCAGAAATCAGAGATTCAACCACATCTTCCGATCATGCATCCATTAATGCCTGGTCAGACAGAACCGAATGTGAGTTTTACACATATCTTTCTCGGTGTAGTTTCGATTATAAACTAATTTGTTTTATGTGACATTTTAGCCGTTACCCCAGGATAATTTCTATCAAGAACCTCATGCACCTTACAATCCACAATATGGACAGCCCATGCAACCAGGCAACGCACCGCTTCTTAACAAACCGCTTGAACAACCATTACAATCGCTACAACCGCTACATCAATCGTCACAGCCTGAGGTGCCTGCCAGAATGGCCGAACCTGAGAAACCTAAAGCGCCTATTCCCGAGCAGCATTTGCATTTAAAGACGATACTGGACGAATTGAGAGATCAGTGCTATGAGCACGCGAAAAATCCCGTAAGCGTTTAATTTTCAATATATTGTACTTGATATTCTTAATATATACGCACATGTTACAACGATATTTGCAATATCAACACATTTTGTTTTGTTATTTAATGTAAAGCGTTTGTATTATTTTCGTAGCAAATCAAAAAGAAGATAGAAGATGTATCGAAGAAGTTGGAGGTGCTATATGATTGCCTTAGAGAAAATAAGGTATACAAATTGATTCTTTAATAATATACAACTCTCAATGTGGTAACCTGACTCTGAAGAATTCAATTGTAAATTCGAAGATGTACAATTGTACAGATGTGGTGAATGACATCAGAACCAAGGAAATAAGTGCTTTAACTTATGAAAATATTTTTTTCAGCTATCTCAAAATACTTTGCAAGGATTACATCAGATATCGCAGATGATACAAAATGGCAATTACACCGGCGGATTAGATTTACACACGCAATTAGTGTCAGGGCCAGATTTTAGTCAAATAGCTTCCTTTATGCCTGGAATTAAAGTATTACTTCTAAGTGCACTTCAACTGAGCGTCTATATCAGATAGAATGTCCAGATATAAAGAAATCATATATGTTAAATTGTTCATATGTACTCGTTACAAAATTTTATAACACTAAACTCCGTATATATATAATAAAAAGAATATTATTTGTTATTATATTAACTTTACAAAATAATATCCACACGTTAATATAAGGCAATAATAATGTAATAAGTAATTATAAATATATATATATACACACACACATATATATATATATATAAAATAAAACATACATTTTCTATAAACATAAATTTGAATAATAAATGTACAAAAAAATTTCATATATTTTACACTTTATTTTAATTTGTACAAATTCTAACAAATAGTGAAAATTCTATGATTGTTAAATAATTTTACTTAGCTCATTGAATAATTAAACTATGTAAAATAGCGGTTTTTTCGTTGATAATAAATTTCTGTAACAACTCGTCCAATGGGTCAATACCGTCCCGCGCGGCTTGACGACGCATAGCTTGTTTCACTTCCTCACGCACGCCTTTGTCGGCACCGCGAGTAGTTATACGCCGATCTGAAGACAGAAATGTTTTAAATAATTTCTCTGACTCTCTTGTACATTTATTATAATTATTTATAATTATTAAAAACAAAAGTTATATAAATAATTTACATTTATAATAATGTCAGAAGGGAAATGCAAGAGAAACGCAAACGAGAATTTGGTCATTAGCATGTCAAAAAAATATGTATATTCGGCGCTTGAATTTTATTGCTTATATTATTTGTCTCACTTTTAATCAAATTTATGTACGTACTTTGTACAATCCCCGAACTGGGACTTATGTCCAATGATACTCCTCCACCATGATCGGTCCACAGATACGTCAGTTCTTCCAGAATATCCACACATATTATGTACATCTGGAATAATGAATAAGAAAAACTTCCGCGACTGAGAATACGTTCAGTAATTGTGGTTAAAGTGCTAGCTTCTTGCGGCCAGTCTATTTGTATCAGAACCAACGCGTGTCCAATAGCCAAATCCCCGACGCTTCCAGGCAAGGAAAAATTTTCCTACAATATAATTTTTTTTTTAATGTATAAAAATAAACAAATATATTAAATATAGAAAAAATATATATATATATATATAAACTAAGAACGTATTATCTTTAGAGATGAAAAGAAAATATTACCTTTATGGCCGAGAGTAGCAATCTGCAACAATATTGTAAGATAGGGAATCGGGCGAGAGTCAGATAATGCAAATGCCTCACACTTGGGACTGTTAAATTGTAAGATACTTTTCCCGGTACAGTAGGCAATGAGCTTGCTACCAGAGAAACATGTTCGAGCATTCCCTGACAAAAAAAATCACAGTGACGTTTTGCAATTTGTTACATTTTCACAAAAATATGATCATGTGGTCGCACATATATACCTTGTAATCTTTTAAAAAGAAGCATGTACTGGCCAAACGAAGATTAACGGTCAAACTGTTGCCTTCCTGCGACAATCTGCCTAGCACTTCGTGATGTAAACCTTTGTACATCGACAAATCAGTTAAGAACGGGTTCAGCCAGCTGTCTAGCCGCAGCTGTTGATTAAGTTTGCTTATTTCTCTCTGAAGATAGTCGGTACTGTGCAATAAATCCCATAGCTTGACCGTCAGTGCCAAGCCGTTGCCATTGTAGTCACAATCGCTGGTTATTATTATTCCAGCACTATCATCTCGTTTGCGCTTCTTCAATTTGGGTTCTGGCTTATGAAATTAAAGATACGTATAAAGTACAACAGATTACGATCATCCAATATCATGAGAATCTCAGTTTGTCACCTGCGGGAGAATGCGCCGCTTCTCCGAAAGCTTCCACCAGACAGTACAACGTTTCATCACTGTTGAGAAAAGTGGCGTGTTCGTTCAATATTCTCAGTAATATCACAACTGTGCACATCAACAGCTGCCTGCCTATGAGAGACTCCTCGCACAGACTTGTGTTGTGTGCAAGCGCGTACTGTTGCAGTCGGTCGCTGTACACTTCGCGATTCCAGGGCGTGGCAAACAAACCGCTCAGTTCCCATCCCAATTTCTTGCCTATCAAGTCCACAATTTGGAACAGTCTATCCCACGGATTCGGAATTTGCGCGTCTTGCGGCTGTTGTATATAAGCCAAATAAAATTCCACTGCTTTGCAGAGCAGTCGCAAACAGAGGCGAGGATTCAACTCTACCGAGGTTGCGCCTAACAGCGGCAATGCGTCACAAGCCAATAACTTTCTGAAACCATTCACAGCCTTGCCCGGATGACTGTGCTTTTCCGCAGTCAAGAGAGTTTCCACCAAACGTGGCTGCAACAACATAACTAATAAATATATCCTGTAGAGAATAAGTAACCTATATTTTATATATTTTAACTATACATACTCCATGGGTTGCTACGGTTTGGGGAAATCTACGTATCAGTAAGAGCAACAGTTTGCAATGCTCCATAGTGTCCTCACTGTGATCAGCTGTCATCACAAGCAGCCTGTGTTGCAACTCTTGCGGAATGTGTTGGAACATTTGGCAGAGAAATTCTGATTCGCCGTCACACTGTTCCAGACGTAGACATGTTGTCACCATTTCTATCTCTTTCCATATCTCACGATCTTCAGGAAAATTTTGAAATCTGTTTAAAACAAAAAAATAACAATTAAAGGAGGAAATGGTGCATATAAAAAGTAAACGATAATCAATACTCACATTTCACTGAAGCACTTTGCCGCTTCTTTCACATTTTTCGACAACTTCTCGATACGATAAGCCTCGAACTAGAACAAATGAATCTTGCATCACTATTTTTATACTATTAACATGTACAGTTTGAACTTTTTGAGTTTTTAAAACTTTATTTACTTTGAAGAAGTAAATTCTATTTAAATTAGAAAATAAAGAGAAGTTAAATGTACTTACGCATTGATTGCTAATTTACCTGAATCTTTGCGCTGTGAGGAAACAGAGATCTTGCAGTAATTAGCCACGATTTCGCAGCGTAAATATCAACCGGCAAAGCTTCCTTAGCTCTCATTATTAAGTAATCTTCCTTGGATATTTGATTATCCGGTCCGGACGGTTTTTCCAACATAGTGCACTAGATTTATCTTAAAAAATTCTATTTATATAAATTTGCGCAATTCTCCGACAAGTATCCCGATGTGATATTCCTGTAAACATTAACCTCCACCACTGACATCTAACAATTTCAATGGCAAAGCGATCACCTCGTGGTTATCGTGGTACGTCGCATGCGCCACGCGCAACATGCGCGCTCTTTGAACTCAACGTGATTTGAATTTTTCAGCCGGAAGGTGACGCCATTTCGAAGTTGCGCGAGGAACTAAAATATCGATCTGTCGGACAGCGAGATGCGTGAGAAGAAAAATAGTTTGTTCGCGCATCAGTTTTGTATTTAAAAAATTAGAAGAACAATGTTGCAGAATGAATGAAAACAAACCATCGAGGTAATTGCAAAATAACAAGAATAAATTGTAAGTTGCGAATGAATAAAACCAACGCTCTGATATCATTATGTATGAAAACGTTTTAAAATCGAAAGCATATGTTGAACTTTCGTTACTGATAAAAGTATTTTATTTTCAATTAATTGTTACGGCTATAAAAAGATTATAGAAAACAAATGATCATTTTACTTTACAAGTGCAATCTCAAATAATATTATTTATCTATTAGCGTTTTCGACTGATAGGGGGATTAAAAACGATTAGACGTCAACTCGATAAATCAAGCAATATGTCAGTTTGCAAAATTGACACTAATAATTGCTTCAACAATTGTAAACATAAACCTCCTCAAATCAAACGCGCTACGTAGATAAAAAAAATTATAAATAAACACACGTGTCACGTGAACACACTTAAATAGAGAGTTCTCTTACAAAGATCGCCCTTTATTTACTCGGTTGGTAACCTGTCCGGAAAGTGGCGCAGTCTAGGACTGAGAAAAGGACGTTTTTCTCTTTGTCTTTCGTTCAACTCGACTATTTTCAGTATCGCTTTTTAGTATTATTTTTGCCTATTTTCAGACGCAATGTTCTAGAATATAAGCTTTTGCCAAGATCGGACTTCTCTCATGTTTTAGAAAGTGAAATTTTATTGTGACAATCTCATATTGTTTTCCGTTCGCTTTTCTCGGTACTTGAATGTGTGTAGAAAATGTTTTGCATTATAAAAATATGATTATGTGACAATAAGAAAGCATAACTTTTAATCTTTTAATTTTTTTTATTTTTTTGTTTAGCGGTTGAAGTGTCGCAGCGAGTTCAAAGGAGAACTAGTGTAATTTATAAAAAAAATTCATTATACAAGATTGAAAATACTTATATCGATTCTACTGATCACTTTTCTTTGAGACAGACTGTATATTTTTTACGGTCTTTACTCTTGAAAACGTTTTCTCGATTTGATACAGTAATGAAATAACAACCAGATCAAAAAATTAATAACTTCGAATCGTTGAGAGGTTTTTCGAAGTCAATAAATTCAGTTGCTTTTTTTTTTTAATGATCATCAACCGCCGCGCACTTCGCGTCGATTGATCCGGTCGACGCGGCAGCCGTGATGATTTTTCTTGAGATTTGCCGCTCGGCGCGTCTCACGGCGGAGATAGCCGGCAACAAAGACGTAATTTTGCAAATCTCCTGAGCGATATGGATACTACACGTCCGTGCGGCGAACCCGAGTATATAGTTCCATTTATAAAGATATAACAGGCGGCTAAATCCGGCTTAGTTTCCTCAACGCAGATTCCAAAGGTGCCTTTCCGCGGAAAGCTCCCTTTAAGTAGTAATGGCGTTTTGGCTTTGTATCCGACGGCATTTCCGGATTCGACGCGTTAAAGCATCGGAAATAAAATTCCATCAGTGTTCGCGCGGGGTTCCGATTTATATTTATTGTATAGGGCGAAAAAACGAGCCATCGGAAAAAATCGAGCGCTCGAAAAGTGCTTCGCAATAAGCATGCGCGCTGAGAAATTAAAGGGCTCATAATTTGTCGTTACGACGGCCGTCCGATTCTTTTTTTTTTTTTTTATCTTAGTTGTTTTTCATAATGCAATTCTTTTTGTAAGAAAGACGTCAAAATTTCTTTTAAGACGCAATCGGGAAAGTTCAAGTGCGTCAAATTTCCTCCGGTTATTCCTCGTGCGTCGCGCGATTTGCACAGAAGCAACGATACGTTCTCTGCCTCGTGCGCGCAAGCAAATTTCGCATCTGCAAGATGGTTAAAGGGGATGTCTGATGGTTGTGGTAGTTATCCTCTCTGTCTCGGAGGCCCACCCCTCTGCGGCTTCTCACAATGGCAACAAAATTACCGAGGAAATTCAATTCCTAGTTGGATGTGCGTCGCGCGTATAGCAGCTCGCGCGTATACAGGGTGTTTCATCTTAATTTATCTCTCCTACGGAAACTTTTTTATTTTTGATTAGGTGGAAAAAATGCTTCGGACAAAAGTTGCTTGGTATGAAAAAAAAAAAAAAAAAAACGTGTAAGAAGTAAATATGACAGGATTCACTTCGGAATCATGTGTTTCCCTTCAAGCCAAAAACAACTTTTGCCTAAAGAATTTGTCTCTACAATCAAGATATAAAAATTCTGAGAGGGAAGTAAATCAAAATCGATCGCTGAGAAACAGCGTCTGAACAAAAACCGGATAAATAATATCTCAAGTCAAAGCAACGGCGATCCTGTTACATAATTTTTCATATTTGATTCCACTAGAAAATTATTGTTTGTTTTTTATCTGCGTGTGATATAAAAAAGCGCACATTCAAAAGTTGCTTCACAATTTTCTCGAAAAATTTGCTGTAAGATTGCGTTTCATGGCAAGAGTAAAAGCAGTTAATTAATTAATTAATTGTTTATTATATAATCGAACGATCTCTTCGGGGATCTGTACGAGAGGAAGACGACGACGGTGGCGGCGGTGGCAGTCGACTGGAAATATCTTTGTGTGTGTATGTCCGTGCGCATATGGCTATATGTAACGCGGCGGCAGGCACTATAGATAGCTTAGGTTGGTTAGTTAGCGTGCAAGTACACGTATCAAAGGCACTCAGAATCCGAGCTTAACAAAGGCAGCTGCGAGTTTACTAACCGTGTCACGTAGTACGTGTATGTATACCTTACCTGTCTTGCGCCCCCGCGCGCACCCGCCCGCCCGCCTGTCCCGTTCGCTCGCTCGCTCGCTCACTTCGCAAAATCTCCTGGCGAACCGTATAACTTTGGTCTTAATGCGTCAACGGGGAACGGGATAAGTTTCGACCGGTTTCAATTAAAACTAATTATTCCCAGCGTAATCGGAGCTCCCGCGGGCGATCGCGGTTAATTGTATACGCAAGGGCGTGTTTACGGATGGAAGAGATCTCCGCGTCGACACTAAATAGAAAACGAGAGGGTTTAAACACGAGATAATTCGCTCGGAACAACCTCACCGCGACCGGCGGTTATAAATGTCGGGTAGGTTAATGTCGCAGCGAACTCGGCGAAGTGTATTGAATGTCGATGTTTGACGATCGCACTTGGTGATAATAATATCGAACAAATATTTAGCGGTAAGATAAATAAATTAACGAAACGAACAATACGGATTAAATCCGCGAGAGCGCGGATGAAAATTATTTATGCAAATATTTGTATGTACATTTTCAATTGATTAATAATACGCACATCAGCTCGATTTGCAGGCAGCAAGTCATTTTTCGTAATGACTAATTAATTGATTTCCTTTCTGTTACAAATTTATTTCGAATTTATTTTATTTTATTTTTTTTTTTTAATTTACATTTCAATATTTCAATATTTCGCGCATCGCTTTGTTGTATATTATTTATTAATTCTCGTTAATACGTTCATATTAACGATAGCGCGATCCGTACCATTTTTTCCGGCTATGTTTTTATCATCGGCGGTAAATAACGTCATTATTCGGGAAAAAATCTGTTAGCGAATAATTTCTATACACCGATTCGCATTGTTTGAAATGAAATTCGTAATCGAAAAAGTTTTTTCGGCTTTGAACATAAAAAACGGAGAACGCGCAAGGTCGTGAGGCGAACGCACGTGTAGCGGTGTAAACCCGGTGTAGCAACCGCGTAGGGACGCGGCCGAACTCGATATTGATCGACGACGTGACGCGGGTCAAGTACATACACACGCGAGAATTACGGTAGCGGGCGCGATAAACATCGCAAATTCGGTACGCGCTTCTCCACGGTGTTAGAGAGCAGGGCTATCATCACACATTTCGAGCCAAATGTGCAACTATATCTACTTAGGTCCTACTTAGGCCCCATTTGACGCAGGGGATTTAGATTGCATTTGAATGGGATTTTTTAGCCGGCGGATTTTCGTCTCGGATTGAGCCATTGTGTCTTTTAAAAGCGACCACCTAACGGCCCTTGACACGCTATCGTTTGTCTCTCTATGCGTTTCGAGCGCACTCGTCGCTCCCTCCGCGTCGTTGAAGCTTTTCGACAACGATGACGACTCTGGATCTGTTTTTTTTTTTTTTTTCTAACGAACCACATGATTATCTTTTTCGCAAAAGTTAATGGGAATCAAAGGAACAGTTTCAAAGAGTAGACCATAAATATTGCCATTTTATGAAATTTGTTGAAACATCTGTGTTGGATGTCACGCACGTGCCTGACATTTGCCCGAAACAACTTTCAGTCTGTACGCGTTTGCCGTTTATCAGAATTAACTTCTGTTACATGTTTGTGGATACACGCGGACACGTGTAAGGATTAATCGTCGCGTTTTATTTAGCTAATATTGGCAGATGCAACCTTGCTTAATCCGAGCCACAAATCGTCAATCTGGTACGGGAGAACATAATGAAAATCTAATAAGCACATTCACGCCCCAAAAATTAGCTCTCGAACGAATAAATGCGAATTGTGTGCGCATTTCGGAATGAAAAGAATTGACTGCAACGACCGTGCGTTTTTCTCTTATTGGCGTCATTAAACAGCGCTTTGTCAAATTTGTCACAATTTGAGACAGTTACGTTGAAAACCACGCGAGCGACGCGGCAAAATAAAACAGGAACGAATTTTTGCGCACAAGGAATGCGACGGTAATAATTCTTTTGACAATACTTGTGCGAGCGGCAGCGACAGCAGATGTATTGGCACTCAGCACGCGCTAAAATATTGTCCCTCATACGCCACCCCATACATCGAATTATTTTGGTTCT